GTGAGAACACACATTATTTGATCACCATCCTGGGTTTCGGCGGAGACTTTTAGTGTCTCATAATAATCTCGACCACTGAATTTCTTTCTTTCTTTTTTTTACACAAGTCAAATAACGATAGTGAGACATAGAAGCAGCACTTAAAAATTAATGAGAGGTTTGATCTGAATCTTTCACAGTGATTGACAGCAGTCTGGCTGCCATGGGGATTTAATGAAACAGCCTAACATAAAGCTACTGTTGTGTGAAAACCTCATATTGCTGCTCTTTTCATTTTTCACCTTCAATTAAAGGATCACATGCTCATCTAAGGGCCAAGGAAAATTCCTGTCACATGTTGGTTGCTGAGACCATGTATAAGCACTGCTGGATAATTGTAAAAAAAACAACAACATAAAAACCACAGGGGTAAAGCTACGCACTGCTCTGCTTTATTTAGTTTCAGCTGTTGACAAGAGATACAAGGTTTTCACGTGACAGCAGCAGTGAGGGACACTGCGGCTTGAAGTGGCCATGATTACTATGAAAACCATCTATGACGCATGCCTTTGTGCGCATATAAGTGTGTGTGTGCGTGCAAGTAAGTGTCTGTTTGCAAGTGTGTGTGCATGTGTGCGCATGTACTGGAGTGCCTGTTGTCTTTGATGATAATGAGGCAGACAGAAACAGGCTCTCAAGTGAGCCCTCAATGCCACCTCAAACACATCGCTTCAGCATGGGCATACTATATGTGTGTGTGTGTGTGTGTGCGCGCGTGGGTTTGTGGCAGATAAGAGACCAAAAATCCCAAGTCGATGCTGTTTTAATGAAATTAATCAGAAAGACGGGAAATCGAAACATTTTGTGCTTCGTGATAACAAAATGTCATTTTGCTTTCCGGCTATAATTGGCTGCTTTTTAATAAGAGATTACTGTTCAACCATTTGTGCTTTGTGCATAATGGAGTTTTAGTTTAGCTGGTGGCCAGAGTGATCTCATTGGTTAGGAGCCAAACAGGGCCATAAAATACACATGTTAGGTGTCCACATTTCACCAGCAGGATGCTGCCCCCCTATGATTTTTATTTGGACATTTTCACCTTTAATGGACAGTTAACATTGAAGGGCAGACAGGAAACATCATCGAGGACATAACAAAAGAGATTCCAATCTTAAGGGACTTCCTGGTTTAATAAAGGTTAAATAAAAATAAAATAACCTCAGTGCCTTCAATGAAAAAAACCCCAACAAATCTGTCTTACAAGATAGGTAGAGAAGTGGTAAATCTGAATAACCATATCTTTTCCTGAGATAGTAGAGAGTAAGTAAGTAAGTAAGTAAAATTCTATTTATATAGCACCTTTATTTTCAACACAGGATACAAAGTGCTGTAAATATTATGAAGCAAAGACGCAAGAGAAAAACATTTAGAAGGTCCAGTGTAGAGTAACATGTTACAAAAGTAACGCAATTAAAGTAATGTATTGCTTTTTGCTGTAACACAGTAATATAACGCAATAGTAAAAAAATTGCTAATTTTATACCTGTTACAATCTATGGATATGACTGCATCAGTAGAACCTTCCTATCCAGGCACATCTTACTATCGGAATAATGCGAGCATTAAATAGCAGTTAAAGTAACTCAAAAGTTATGTAAAAGTAGTGTAAAACATTACAATTCAGAGACAATAATATTGAATATTGTAATAGGTATAACTAATTACTCTCAAATGGCAGTATTTTGGAAGTAACTTGCCCAACACTGAGAAGGTCATCCACAGACACATACAAACGCAACACGCAAACGACCACAGGAAGCATTCAACGACTCAGCTGATCTGATGGGAGGAGGGAGATCGTTACAGAGTCTGGGTGCAAGGACAGAAAAGAACGGTTGCCTTTTGTTTTACATCTGGCCCGCGGTATAGCCAACACATTTTGGTTGGAAGACCTAAGAGCACGCTCTGTGGTGTGTGGGCTTAGTAGCTCTGAGATGTAGGCAGGAGCTAAGCCATGTAGGTCCTTATAAGTGATAAAAGCCTAGGTTGCATTCTGAAAAAGCTGTACAGCCGTGCCAGTTTGACAAAGGCAAGGGAAAAGGGCATTACAGAAGTTGAGATGGGAGAAAATGAAGGCATGAATGATGTGTTCTAAGCCAGAAGCAGATAGTAATGGTCTGATTTCCGCAAAAAACATGATTGAACCAATTTGTTGACATGGTTTTCAAATGAGGGTCAAATATAACGCTAAGATTTCTAGTTCGAGTTTGTTTGACATAGGAGGAAACAGGTTAATATTGATTTTAAAGTCCAGCGTCCCTGAAGCCCCCCAAAATTGGTACATTTCATCTTGTGAGAACAACGTATAATTTTTGACAAAACAATCCAAACTCAGAACCCTCTTGTCAGCTTTTTTCTTGACCTTTCAATCGTATCAAACGGATATCAGCAGATGCCGTTTGTTCAGTTGCCATCTATCGTCAACCACTTATCCTGCGCCCAGGGTTGTGGGGGGCTGGAGCCAATCCCAGCTGACATCAGGCGAAAGATGGGGTACACCCTAGACAGGTCGCCAATCCACACATAGACAAACAACCAGTCACACTCACACCTAAGGACAATTTAGGGTCACCAATCAACCTAGTCCGCATGTTTTTGGACGGTGGGAGGAAGCCGGAGAACCTGGAGAGAACCCACGCAGACAAGGGGAGAACATGCAAACTCCACAGCACCACTGCGCTGCCCTGTTTCTTCAGTTGTCACGCGGGATTGTTTTGTGAAACTATTTCCAAGGTCAAGAGTGAAATGTAATGCTAAACCTTCAGGTGAGCAGGGGTTTCTGGCACAAACTCACCCACTTCCAAAGTGCATGGAGGCGGGAAAAAAGCCTAAAGATGCCGAAACTACAGCAACACTTGTAGTATATACAACACTTTATTGTTAGACTCTTCATCAGGGTCATCTATTTACTTCTGTATACTACAAGTGTTGCTGGAGTTTTAACCTCTCTACACCTTCAAGTGAGCACAGACTTATGTATACATTGATAGATTAGACCTCGCTAAGGTTCCAACAATAATTTTTTTTTTCTTTTGTTTAAATTCAGGCTGATCACTCCCAAAAGACAGGGCGGTGTTAAAGGGTTAAAAGACTGAGAACTGAAGGACTACAAAGATTTAGACCCTGTTATTTATTGATCCATGATCAATTACACAGTCTGGAGAGGATGCATGGGTATATGATGGATGTTTACACAGAGAAAGATAACAGCTCCATCATAAGGCCTGTACTGCATACAAATCGTATTGGATACATGAACACGGAAGAGCTACAGATGAGCAGCTGAAGCTATTCTTAACATCACTTTGCTCACATTAGTCTACTTGAATTTGTTGGCAGAGTGATGAATCACACAAGAGCAGTGCAACGACAAAATACGGAAGTAAAAAACAAAATTTATGCAGGAGGCATGTGATCTCACCATGAATAAGACTACAAAATGTCACAGGACAACAGAACAGATGGTTAAACAAAATATCTGAAATGACAAGGCAAGACATATTAATGTAAAATAACTGAGGCGTGATGCAGGAAATAGAATCATGACAAAGTCTATCTTAATACTTTAACAAGTTTTTTTTTAAAAGTAGGTAGCAATAGAACAATCTTCATCAGCAGCTTTGCAGATATAATTAAAGTTACAGGTCTTTATAACCCCCTTCATGCTAATCAAACACCATGTAGCCCTTCAAAGTACACCTAATTGACATTACATTTACATATGCAAATTTTAATTACCATCCACCTAATTACAGTATTTGCTGGTTCATCTGTCATTTAAAGGCCATGTGATGCGTGTGTGTGCGCGTGTGAGAGATGTGTTTCTTCCTGCCTGTCAACCTGTCTGAATGTGTCTATACATACAGTATCTTTCTGATAGCAACACTGTTTAATTGCGCTTCCGTGATCCTCTGCTCTGTGGAAACTGAGCAGAGAGCATTTTCATCAGCGAAATATGTGTTTTGTTTTGTGAAATTTCTGGGTCATCACCGCAGGTCCACGCTGGTTCCACACTGCTGAATCACTGCCCACATTTCCAATATGTTCAGCCATTCAAATCCAGTGAATCTGCAATTCAGTTTGACTTTCAGGTAAGCTGAGGCCCCCCCCCCCGGAGACTCCATTGCTGAGAAGTTGCGCAAAAATAAAATAAAATAAAATGTGGTGTGCTTTGTTCCAGTGTGAAATTTCTTTTCATATTTTGCATCAGAATTTCTGTTAAGACATGGTTTACAACAGCTTTAAAACTCAATAGCAATTAAAATGATTATAGAGCCTTAGGGCAGCTCCTGCATTGTTACATATTACTGAAGGGCCCAGTGTTAAAATCTAGTTTTAATACCTTTATTTTTTTAAGTTTAAATTATCACAAATGAGCACAAATGAGTATTCCAGCATACTGTTTGCTTTCTGGGGCTCAAGGCAAAATATAATGTAGCTGCTAAGTGTAGCCTGCTAGAGGCACTCTACCTGATTAGTACTTCAAGGCAAGAAGATACATACACAATGGAGTGAGAGTGGTAGAGCTTGGTACCTGGGTGTCTTTAGCTGTCTCTCTATATATGTGTCTGTCGGTTTCTCCTTTGGGTTGTTTTGTACCACAGTGTTAGCCATTTGACCTCATTCATTACACAAGTTAAAAGGATGAAATACATAATGTCTGATCTCTAGTTACTGGACAAGTAATAGTCTGCTGAATAGGCTGAATAGTCTGCTGTCCTTTTGCTAAACAAAGTCAGTGACTTACTACACATTTTCTGCTGCTGAAGTGGCTGATAATACGGCCTGCCCTACAGTCAACACAAAGGATGAATGGACTTCGAAGGGTGTGTGATATTGGTAGGTGGGCATTGTAAACATATGTGAACAGATGATATCTATAAATGGTAAGTTATTATAAAAAAATAATGGATGAGACTGAAATGTTGTGCAGTAAACTCACCCAATCAGTGCAGTCAGACTTCCTTTATATAAATCCTTTATTCAATATCATTGTTTTCTGTGTGTATACAATGGATTAGACATAAACTGTACAGTGCAGACAAACTGTTTGCATAATATGTATGTAAAGGTAACTGTACATTTACTGACAGACAGAGTAATCTCCTTTAATGTTAGCACCAGTGACAATTAGCTTTCGGCTCATAGCTAGCATGGTTTGCACTAGGAACATACAGCAGGTTGTTAAAAATCTTTATTTAATGTTTTCTTCATCACCTTTACACATTTTTGTGCAACTACTTACAGTCTCACTTAGCACTGCTGCAGATACGTCATACTACATATCAAGGATAAAACCCAGACTTCGTAGTCACACGGCTGCTCCTAAAATTTGTCACAGGAATAATGTTAAAACTAAAAACTCACTGGACTTCCTTTGTGAATTAAAAAAGGTAGAAAAAAAACAGCATCAGGTCATGAATTATTCTGACCAAGAAAGATCTTTTCCATTGAAGTCAATACAAACCACGTAAAATCAAACATGGTGCTTGAGTTGCTCCTGGAGTGCAGCTCCAACATTGCTGTTGTACAGCTTGTGACCACCGGTGGCAGCATTAAGCGCTCTCCAGCGAGCTAGGAACAAAATCTGTGCCATCTTTCTTTTGACTTTAATAGAAGAGACCTTTATCGGTCTGACTCATTTGTGTTATTTGTTAGTTTACACCTGCTTAACACAATTTTTAAGTCACTAAAACGATTGCCTACCATCTGGCATGGCCGTTATACTGTATGGAGTATGACGATCCTTGATCAGGGCTGGTTACCACAATCTATTTCTACATCTACCAGTATGTAAAATAACTTCCTGAGCTCAATCCATCATTGTTAAAAGTAGCAGCAAAGGATATGAAAGCAATTACTTTTTCCTGTTTTTTGTTTTATAATTTTTGCCGCTCTCAGCCAACAGAATTAAATATTGATACTCTACTGAAAGTATTCCACATAAGACATGCATTAGTGTAACAATGTTAGAGATATGAAGTAATTCTGATTCATTCTTCCTTGGCTCCATTATTGCAATGATGGATTATGCTTCAGAAACCGTTTGTCTCTGTAAGTTGTTTCTGATGCCACTGGGGAACCAAACATATAAGATTTGCATGTATAAATGAAACAAATACCAGAAATGCCCGTGGTGTCTCTACCAGTGCAAACCGATGGCAGAAATGAGCCAGATGCAAAGCTTTACTGGTGCTATGCTGTAAATGTTTGTTTTGTTTTGATGACAAATTTCCTACATTACCACATGCATAAGTCCCAGTCATCTTTCCTCTTTTGAACACCATGCAACAAGTGGAAAACAGTCCAAACAGATGTAAGAGGAGGAGGTGGCAGAGAAAAAGATTTGGTGGGAATAAGTTCTCGGGCTGCATGACTACAAAACGAGCAGAGAGCGAAAGCTAGCATAGTTACAGTGAACAGAAGATTGGGGATCAAAGGATAATTGAAAAGTAAAATAGGATGAAGAGTGTGTCTGCTGTGTGTGTGAGTGTTCAGAGAAAGAAACAGCTGGGAGGAGAGCGCATTTACTGTCTTGTTTCAGATTCAGACATAATAAGGCAGTCTTTTGTAAGAGGAATAAAGTGGAATGGAAAAAAGAAACGGCGAAAAAAGAAAACCTGAGGGAGACAAGATACATTATGACTACAGTGCTTACCATTACATGTTCCTGTGTCTTTAAGTGCACCCGTACTGCAGTGGTCAGGTCACAAAACCCTTTTTTGTTCTATTATGGCTCGTCTTGTGTCCATTTTGTGCCTTCTGATTTCTGAGCTACAGTTCGTGTGGGACAAAGTACGATGGCTACATGTGTACCTGCCATGACAGCATGAGTGGTACTCGCATGTGGAAATTAAAAGTGACCCGGGTTGTTGTGATTGCTCACTTCTTATTAAATCAGCTGCTCTCTTCCTGCGCAGAGCCCACTGTTAGATACAGTATCTCATAATTGTAGCCTTGGTACCTGGCTAACCACCAGTGGAGAGAAATCTCTCAGGAGACGCCGACAGTAATTGCGCCTTTGTTGTGTTGAACCAGGAACTGTGATTACCAGCCTGGAAACGCTACTGTAGCAGTGTCTTTGGTCAGTAGCCAGGAAACCAGGCCATTTTCTCTGGCCTCAACCATCATTAATTCTTGAGCATGTGCCACAGATCTTCAATAGCTGCTTTCACAGGATGTGAACCCTGCTGCTAACCTAACAAGCTGAGCCTCTCTGAAAGATTTGGTTCCTTTGCTAAGTATATCTTTTTCCTCTAACAGTGTAGGACAAATTATCAGCTTAATAATCATTCAGTTAATAGCAGTTGTTGTCCTGGAGTCTCTCCTAATGGTAACTCAGGTAAGTACAAAAACATTGTCCTCTATACTGTCATTAAAGTGGCGTCTTGGAAACGTTCAGCTTAGACACAGGCAGTTCAGACAACACAAGACACATTAAAGAGGAAGTTTACAGACCTGATTGTCAGGGTGTTTTTTTTTTTTTTTTTTTTACTGTTTTACTAGTAACTCCCTAGTGTGACACAACAAGTAGTCAATAAATGTTACATCCACATTTCAACGTGAGACAAACACAACATCGGTCAAAAGACTTCTTCCTCATCACCATCATCGTACTTTGCTCTTTAAGCAAGTTTAAGACAGGATGTCAAGGGACTTTGAGAATTCTTGGGTAAACCCTGATGGAACCCAGGAAGGCTGAACATGTAGCGTAATTCTTCAGCCGCCCTGGATCTCACATCTTGATCTTGGGCTGGGAAGGAGAGGCACTCACATAGCAAGAATCTACAGCAATAATAACACTTTTTGATGATCCAACAGCAGCAATACGTTTCACGTGTACTTGCAGATTTTCAGCATCAAGATTACAGTTTGGTGGTATATAAACTTAAAACTTAAAACTTAGATCTCTCATTTATCCATTACATTTCGGCTTTAATAAATCCCTCTTTTGTAATCAGTAGTCTCAAATGTTTTTCTTTCAAAACAGTATTTACGGATGGACACATTAGACTAGACAGTCACACATATTTGAACACAGAGGGAAGTTAACAGCTAATGAGATCAGAGAAGGAGAGAAAAATGTTGTGTACGTGAGGAACCAATCTGAGAAATGCCAATTAGAAACACTGTGAGCTGTCTAGTCTTTTCACAGTGTCTTCAGCTGCGGCGTGTATCCTCTGTACAACACAGCGGGACAACATTAAACACGTTAGAGCGGCTTCACTTGTGTGCAGCAGTGCAGCGTTTCACCTGCTACACAGACGCACACCTGTTGCTGAGGCTGAGGGTGCAGCTGATTCAGGCTGGTGCTCGTTTCATGTCGGAACAACTGTGAGGATTAATCATACAGCCTTGTTTTTTTAGGGTGGTTTGTTCTGTCTTGTTCTTTGTAGTTTTGGTAACGTCAGTGGAGGTCATTTGTCTTCAGCAAATCTGACAGTGGTTCAATGATCCGATTAAAATGCAAAGTGCCCCAAATTGGGATTCAAAACAAGAGAACTGCACTGTTTCTTTTCTTTCTTACTGAATATATTCATTAGCAAGTGTCTGCCTCATTGTCACTGACACCAATATGAAGTGTAGGATCACAGTATTAATATCTTCTCAGTAATATGACTATAACTTTTTGAGGAGTTAATTGGCGTCTAGTCTTGCTGTCTGAAAGAAAGACGAGTAAACAGAAAGCCGGGGCCAGAAGCCCAGAACAGATTGGTGCCATGCTGACTGTCACAGTGAGAGGGCAAAGCATGGGAATCTATTTGGTTTGATTTAATTCCAAGGCATTCGATTTTCTGCCTTGTAGTTCTTCACGTTTCACACAAACCCATATTTCAGTAGTTTGATTTGACACTGTTACCAATCTCTTTGTTTTTGGTGGTTTTCAGAAACCACGTTTCTAATTTTAGTATCTTAACCTGATTGTATAGGCCACTGTGCCAATTTATATTTAATAATTTAATAATAAAAATATTTTTTTTGTAATTGCGGTTCACACTCTCTGTCTTGCCAAAAAACAACATTTCCTCCTGCAATGAACATGCATGTGATCAGACACGATAGCCAATCCACTCAGATCTTATACATCATATATCCGGATACTTGGATATACAACTCGGATATAGTAGTACTGTAGCACAGTTTGTCTAAGAACACTCAGATCTTAAACATACTGTATATTTACTCAAGGACTGTACTAAAGTACAATTCTGAGGTACTTGTACTTTATTTGAGTATTTGATTTTATGCTACTTTATACTTCTACTACACTAGATATTAATATTAAATACTCCACTAACTTTATTTGAAAGCTATAGTTATTAATTTGCAGATTAAGATTTTATATAATTTGTCATACATTGTCATGTTTATGTCTATGAGTACTTAACACTTACACCAAGAGTGTTTCCCCCCTGTAAACTTCATGTTTCATTTAAATACTGTTTCAGGCCCACAGTTCAAAATATCCAATATTTCACAAAGCGTAATATATATATATATATATATATATATATATAATATGTCAGACACAGATGCATTTTTGAGTACTTTTAGTTTTGATATGTGAAGTACATTTTGTTGATGACACCTGTGTACTTTTCTTTGAGTGGGATTTTGAATGAAGGATGTAAAGGAATATTTTCACATTGTAGTATTTCTTTGTAAAAGATCCGAGTACTTTTTTCAACGCTGCCTGAAACCTGTGTCAATGTAACAGGACCATACCTGGTCCAATTAGACCAGGTCTCTCTTCCTTGGACTAAGCAGACCCATGAAGACCCATAGTCAACGTCATCTATGGGAGGTGTTGCTGTCTACCACAGTGCCTTTTCTGAAAGTACCACAGTACAGTAAAGGCGGAAGTGTTCAAATTCTACACATAGCGGCTTTAGCATACTTTACTCTGTACTCATACTCTGTTAACTACTACCCTCATTCCAACCTTTAATTTCAAGTTCTTGGGAAGGCAACAGAAATAAAAAGTGCTACCTTCTACCATCTTAAGGTGTTACCCTCCCTGTGTTAAACCTCTACAATATCTGCTACTCCATGTAAACACTGACTGCTACCATGCTGCTTGGGCTCCAGCATGCCTCTTGTACACTCCATTTTGCTACAAACAGAGAATTTGTGGAAATCGTCCTGGTTTCGGCACTCAGCTACACGCTAATTTGAGCAACTTGATGCCAAAACTCTTCATTTGACACATCAGTTGATCTCCTCTCCTGAGCTACACTTTTGTCAGCGATGTGAAAATCATAGCTTTTGTAAAGGGACAGAAAAAAAAACAACGTGTTAGACAGAGAGGTAGAAACTAAAAATAGGTTTTGTGTCTGTACAACAATGTAGCTCAATAATCACTAGTGCTCTGTGTGTGCAGAATAATAAACCACCGTACAAATAGATAATAAAGGATTACTGAAAAGACAAACATGCTTTAAGCTTTGTGGTGTCAAAGAAGAACTCTCTTTATAACAGCTATATATTAGTATGTGAATAAAAGAAAGGATAGGCCGTAAGATGTGTTTGCCCTGTATGTAATGCACAAGTACATTTAATTGTAAGCTTAGTACAGAATGTCCTGTGCCAAATCTTAATTGATCGATGACTAAGTATCCTCTGAATCACTGTTTGGTGTTTAAGGTGTTCTCTTTGCCCGATGTTTGCTGATGTTTTTAATCTGTTCTGTATTTACTCCAAGATCAAATCCAAGTGGTCGATTTTTGGGTGGGAGTTGTGTGCATGTGTGTGTAGCCACCAGCAAGCAACAGAAAACAGTATTATCAGGAGGGAAAAAGGGGCCTCATTCTTACAGATTGTCACAGAAAAATACCGGTGAAGACAACATTTGTTCCCCGTTTCTTTGTTTGTTTATACTTTTAAGTAATTTTGTCTCCCACACGAGGGCATGCCACTGTCCCAGTTCCAAAATATCTGGCTGGCATTGGCCTGACTTTACGGTCTTCATCCTCTTCTTCACCCACCACCAGCCGCAGTGTCGTGTCCCTCTGGCCCTGCCCCACAACACCGGATCCGACCAATTGCGAAAGAGGTGAGGTGGGAGGAGCAGCCCCACTGCTGACCACTCAGAACTTGAGCTGCTGTTTGTTTTGTTACTTTTGTTGCAGTTTTTTTTTGAGAGCACAGCAGTGGGGCGAGTCTCTGGCTTTTCCTGGCCTCTGGTTGGCCAGGTGAAGGTAAAAAGGGGGGCGGGGTTATGTCGCCTCCTTGTCGGGTTTGTTTACTGGTTTGCCGCCATTCATGACCACGGGTTCGCTGGTTGTGCTTTTGGAAGGCGGGCCCCCGGCGAGTTTAGGCACCGCCTCCCCTACGTCGTGCAACGATGGCTCTCGGTACATCGCAACTAAAACAGTAGAGGAAGAAAAGATGGGAGGAGGAGGACAGGGTAAGGAAATAAAGGGAGGAGGAGAGATGAAAACGTTACAGTAGAGAAGAAAAGAAGAAGGGGATCCAGAATTGGCGAAAGAAAGAGGGGGGAAGAGCAGAAGAAAGGTAAAAGAAAGTAACAGGAGGAGAGATTAAGGAGTAAAACAGGGATGAAAATAGCAATAGGTCTTTGCATTGTATTCCAATAAAACTGAAAGAAAGAATGAAACTAAACATCTGCAAACAAAAGACATCTGGTCTAAAACCAAAAATGTCAAATTCAAGGTTCATAAAAGTGTCTTACCTTCTATAGGTTTAGGCAGGAAGTGTGCAGCTGGTTTGGTCTTTTTGACCCTGTTGCCCTTCATGGCCTGTCCCTCCTTATTGAGACCCAGAAACCAGGCCCGGCCTGACTCCTTCTGTCTATAGAGCATAGAGCTGTAGATCACATAGTAGTTCTCAAACACCGACTCCTTAAACTTACACTCCGCTGTAAACAATTCCTGAGGAGACAGATAAGACAGAGAGATATTGGTCATATTTAGACGTATATTTGTATATTTTCAAACCACCACTTTTATTTGTTGTATTGTTGTGTAAAATGTTTTCTCATTCAGTTTTGATAAAGCAGTTTTATATTAGCAGCATCACAGGACACTTGGACCACCTGTGCAGAAGACCAGAATGATTTCTCTGGTCAGAAATCTGATTTAAAAAATATTGAAACCATATCGACAGACAGGGAGGAGCAGCACACCGAGTCTCTAACGGATGTCATTCTCTCCTGACACTCTCTCTGTATGAATAGAACAACCAATAAAAAAGTAGATTGATTCTGGTGACACAAAGCCCCAAAGATCACAACCCTGCCACCCTCATCAGCCCAGCTGTTATGTGTCAGAACTCGTTTCCGCAGTTGCCGACGCCTCCAGCGGAGCATATTTCAGCACAGAATCAAGGTGTTATTCTTACTGGGAGAAAAAATATCAGCTCTCCCTGGTGTCCGCTTGCACTACTGAGTCACAGCAAGTTAAAGTCAGCCTGACATAAAACATTCTTCTTTTGGGGAGGTCAGAGTCGAGGCAGTCTGAGAAGTCAAACTCCAGAAATTCTGATCTTATCAGCAAACTGGAATTTCTCAAGTAATATTTACACCTAAAAGCTGAAGCTTTGCACAATGATATATGATTAAGCAGCAATGTTCTGCTGTTTTCTTACATGTATATGATGTCAGCACAGCATGACATCAATCTGGGATAGTCAGCTTCCCTATAAGGACTGCAGCTAATTATTATCAACTAACCTGTGGATCCTTGTGATTAATTAACATAAAGCATAAACAAAAAACATAAAGCATTTTTGCTCGATAAGTACATTGATTACTAAAATTGTCATTGATTCATTTACTGTCCGTCAACTCATCAATTCATTGAACAATTGTTTCCCATAGTTCTGACATTTAAGGCACATTCAAGTTCACCAATGTGGGAAGAGCAGATCCCTTTTACAGTTAGTGCAATTTATTGTTTAGTCCTGTTAATAACTGGAAAAGATTCCATTTAATTGTAATATTCCTTGTGAGAAAACGTGATTATTTTTCAGCCAGTATACCGAAACAAGTGATAATTACCACACTAAGATTACGTGGCAATATAAGAAAGCACAAGCAAAGTATTTTAATACAAGAAAAATACTGTATGTACAACAACAAAATGTATACATATGCAGTATAGGGATATCTGTCTTTGAGGGGGTTTTATGGGTTCTCAACACCACCAGTTGTGAGCAGGCTAGTTCTCTCTCAAGAGACCGGTCTCATACACAAGAGGCCTCTATCTCCATGTTGACGGATGGTTTGTTAAAATATTACAACACAAATGTCCATTATGAAATTTACAGGAACCTGTGGTTATTTGCCTTGTTCTAAAACCAATTCCCAGTACAGCCTGTGGCAGTAGGCCAATCAGCACATTAAATTTAACCTGTTGTTGAGTTTTATACAACAATGATCCATCCATCAGATTTCGATGTACCTATAATCCCATGTTTCTTTAATTAAACAGCAAAAATGAAGACAAATAAACCTTTATTATTAATTCCAAGGGAGTACCAGGGACAGAGAGCCCTGTATGGGCCTCCTGGAACATGCTTGAGGCAGGTTATGCCAAAACACACCACAGGAGAACAATGCAGAAGACCACTGGTTGCCGTTAATTTTATAATGGGCAGTTGTGTTGTGATATTAAATCCATCCTTTAACAGGGAAATAAAAGCCTCTCGTCTATGAGACTGGTCACTTGAGGGAACTCCAGCTGTGTCTGGCTGGCTAGCTTATGTATCGTCAGTTTGTGGAGCTGCTCTCTGCTGCTTTTGTGCAACAGGATCAAAAATAGAGCTGCCGTGGCTGAGTCGCTCCCCTCCTGGTCCTGTCTAGTTCGTAGCGCTGGTTAGCATCATAGCTAGGCTTTAGCAGGCACTTAGAATGGTATAGCCAATCAGAGTAGGGACGTGTGTTCCCACAAGGCATATTGGCATCCTACTTCAGTTTAGTCTCCCTCATAGCACAAATGTTGCTGTTTTTGACATGAGTTTTTGGATATGAATTTGATCATTTGAATTTGACTAAACCCATCTATCTAATTTTCAAAGAGGTGAAATCAGAACAAATAAATTCAGATAAATGGTTTTCAAAGTAAAATATTTCAATGCTAAGGATTCAGTGGCTCAAAAGTGGCCTCCCAGTGTCACGCTGCTTTAGCCCTTTGTCCTGACACTCTAGAGGTACTTGTCAGGTGAATGTGAACATAGGTACACATAGGATGTTCATAAAAGACAAATAATGTTTCTTTTGTTGGGACAGCTCCAAATATCTCTTTGTTTGTTAAGGTTCCACTTCCTGATACTGCACTTCTTGACCCCTAAACGTCCCACCAAGCAACCATCCCGCGTGTATTTTCTTCAATGCTGGAAATACAACAAAGAAGAGTTTGCTGATGATTCTTGTTTTTGCCAAGCTTTCTAGTTTAGACATTGTTTTGCCTGGTTGTCACCATTTCCTTTTCATTATAAGCAAGAAATCATTAGTCGTGGCTGAGTTTATCATCAGATGTTTTTCTTTCGTTCTTTAGTACTTCTTGTATCTTATAAGGTTGGATGATATGGTTGAAATCAGTATAACAATATGAAGATTATCTATCTATCTTATTATATATCACAATATAATAAATGTCTGTACAATCACATCCATCTCGTGTTTTTAAATTGCATTTGGATTCCTTACTACCAACTCAATTTTAAACACAATATGATCATTTCACATCAACCCAATACCTCCAAGTTAATTAATAGTAATAATGAATTCACCCAGCCTTAGTTACTTATTTAAGTTTTGGTTAAACCTACAAACAAATTTCCTTAATTATCAAAAATGACAACTTTGCATTTTTCGTCGTTCAGATTTGGGATTAAGTATTCAGTGACTGTTAAAATTCAATTATCTTATTTGCTTCCATAATATTAATTTTTCTTTTTGCTCTAGTTTGGCTCTTTGGCTGTTCCACTTTCTCCACCAGCTTATCTCATAACATAAAATATATTGATTAATGCAGCTTTAACTAACCCTATTTAAACTGTAATATCTTCCTGTGTAACAAAAATCTTCCTTTCTTTTATTAAAACCTCAATCAGCATACAATAACTGACACACTATCTCATTGAGTCAATTGCTAAGGAAATGAAAAAACAGTGTTAATAAACTTCCACTCATATGGCTGAGGAGGCTCCTGCCAACCCAAACAATCACCCCGAGGTCCCCAGACCCCAGATTGGGAAGTGTTTGTCTAGACCGTCTCTTATTGGCTGTCGTGGGCCTCTTGCCACAGACACATTGTCATTCAGCTCAGGTCTGTCGGTCCGAGTCTCATAGCAACATGAGGAAGAGAGGCGACACTGTAGCCGTGGCAACCAACCAGCGCTGAGAGGGAGGGGTCAGCGTGTGTGTGTGTGACGGGAATGCAACAGCAAGACAGAGCGAAATACACACACACACAAACACTTGCATTGTTAATTTGGCATATAATGTGCTATATCTCATGCTCTGCCATCCACTCACGCTAACCTAAGAGGACACTTATTAAAGGCAGGGCTAGGTGGCACCAATACGCAGCTGTGAGGGATCAGACACTGGCACACACACACACACACTTGTGGCTCTAGGGGATGAATTGAGGGAGGCGCAGGAGGGCTTGCTGGGATATGAAATGTGACTAAATGAACAAGACAGGTTATAATGAATGAATGCTCTATTTATTGGCAAGGTCAACGACACACACACAAACACCACACCACAAATCAAAATCGTTTTGATTTGTAGTAACAGTGTTAAGTCATTCCTGGATTAAATTAACTTAATAATATATATTAAGTCTTGACCTGCACCCCGGATTCATTATTCATTTGTTAAGGAGGGTGATCTTTGCTGGTGTGAAGAGAGCGGTGCCAGACACTTATTAATGTTGGTCAGAGGGGTCATACATCATTTAATGCTGCTTTTAAAATAAAAGATGTTTGATGTTGCGGCGTCTCTCAGCCTCATCTGAAAAAGAAACATTTATTCCCGGGCTGTATTCAGAGAGGAAAAAGTGAACTATAAAAATCAACTCGGATGAAAACCTCAGCCGTACAGGTGAGTCACTTTAACAACACCGCCTGCCTGAATGTGTTTCTGTCGTCATTTCTTAATAGCTATGTTCACAAGCTGCCCACAGAAAGAAGACACGGAGAAAGAATGAATGAAAGAAAAGATGGGTGGGGTGGAGGGGCTGGAAATTGGGACATGAAGGAGAGGAGAAAGAATAAATCACCCAGTGAGGACGCCGCCGCCTCCTGATTGGAAAAACAGCAGGGGATTCTCTCTCTCCGTCTCTCTCTCTCTCTCTCTCTGTCTCCCATCTCTTATCTTAGCATTTCTATCATCACTCTTCTACCCCCCACCCCCCTCGCTCTGTCACTTCACTGTGCTCTGCAGAGATTTAGTGGAAGTGAACACACTGCACACATGCATGCACACTTTTATCTTTTGAGTTACGCACACATACATTCATGCATCATAGCCTGAATAGCAGCTGTTTTTCAGACAGCAGTAATCAGATAGAGAGGAGCCCATTAACATGTTAAACACCCTGCTCCAAAACATACTCCACTGATACAGGCAACACTTTGTCCATTAAAGACCTAAAAATAAGAAACTCAGAAACAGAGGGGGGAAAAGCAATCTCAACTCCTGCCACGGCACAAAGCTGCACTAATAACAACACTTGGCAACTCGAGCTGCCCAGTGCTATCACAGCTTGACTGCTAGCCACTGGGAGCTTCCCAGTTGAAGAACACTCACAGTACAACAATAAACTATTATGAATAATTACTGTTCCAGTGTGTTTTCTCTGGTATGTTGTAATTTACCAAAGCCTTTAATCCACAGACAATCAGGAACATGTCTTGTTGA